ATCAATGTATGTTCTTGAAGTTATATAGTAGGCGAAAAGTATATACCACTATATATATATTACTTTTGTCTTTTCAGTGAAGCAGCAAGAATTGCTGCTAAATCTAAGTCTGGTCAAATTGGTATTTACTTATTTAAAGGTAAGTTTACACTAATGTACGTTGTTTTGTTATGGTAATTTCGAATTCAAGTTAAAAAGCATATATATCTGAAAATATGTAATAATATGTTTTTGTTTGATTTTCAGAGCCTGAAAAGAGGAAGAAGAAGGTAGGGATATAATGGTCATTTATTTCAATTCTTTCATTTGAAAACATATTCAATAACAATATTTCTTTCAGTTTTCCTTTAGGGTAACATAAATAGATATTTTATTTTTTTTATTTTTTATTTTTTTATTACTTATTGCAAATCCAACAGTGTAAACACAAATTACAGAATGAAAATATAAAGTATTGAAACTTACACAATCAGTTAAAAGCCTAAAATTGTTATAAATGCATAATAAAATGATTTAACCAACTCATATTACACTTAGAAAAACTACAATGAAAGATATCTTCATTCAGAATGCTATGATATGGGAGATATTTTCATAACAATTTGAAAGTAATGTATAAATAGAAACATTAATCACAGTTTCTCTGTATGTTTTCAGTTTAGCTATAAGTCACGAACGCAAGGATATTCCGTAAGGAAAGTTGCCACCAACGAGAATCCACCGGGGACAGTTTCACGACCTCAAACAGAGCTAAGCCAGAAGGGTTCCACAGCGCTGAAAAAGAAGGATGCGCCAAAGAAACCGGTTTTAAAGAATAACAATGCAGCAAAAACAAAACACACCAAATCTGAACAGGATGTGAATTTCGTAGCGAAGAATATACAAGCTCAGAAGAAGAAGAAGAAACAGGTGTCATCAGCAAACACTGTAACTCTGACACAAGACCAGCTCAACAAGATATTACAAACACTTGGTGGCGAGAATGCCTCTCTAAAGTTTGGTATGTGTAACATTTTTTTAAGATTTAAATATATTTCTAAAAAACAATCTAGACTACTGCAGGTTTCTTCAAGTATTTGATTATGTAATTGTTTTTATATAATTCTACATCCATTATTTCTTGTAGAAAATGGTGATATTAGAATTGAGGATAAGACAGATGAAAGAAATAATCAAGACCACAAAGAAGACAACATACCAAAAGGGAAATCTGACAGAGAAAATGAAGAAATAAATACAAATGTACAACCAATACAAAGCAAAGAAACTGTATCTAATGCAACAGAAAACAATGGACCTAATCAAAATAACGTAGATTCTTCAAATCAACATGATATTGAAGAGCAAAAAGATGTAAATAGAACTCAGGTGATAAATGATAATGAGAGCACCACCAGCCCAAGAACCAATCTTGGTGATATTGCAAACTGCATTGGTACGACCGGTTTCAACGATAAAGATGATGCTGAGAGAAGAAGACGCCAATGGAGGGAGGAATTAGGTAAGTTTACCCCTCACTAATTACCTAGGTATTGTCTGACCCCACTAAATATTTACCAGCTTACAATAAAAAAAAATTTTTAATGCATATATATGTTACTCATGTTTTTGTTGATAAATGCTCAGCCTCAATTCAACAATTAAACATTACAATAGTGTAAAAATATAATAAATTTAATTCAATTTTTTATTATTATTAAACTGTATAACATGTGTAGTAATTTTATTGATTTTTAATAAATTTCATATATAATTTTTTAAGTCAATAAAATGTTTTTAATTTCAATTTCGATTATTGTAAGTTCAACTATTTTTCGACAGATAAACAGGTTGCAGAAAAACAGAAAGAGAAAGAGAGGATGAAGAAAGTTCGCCTAAGTGGGGATAGTGCTGAGCAGTGGAGCCCATGGGGTAATCTAGGTGATAGTGGGGGTAGGAGTCAAAGAAAGGTTGATGTTGCTAAACAAGTTGTACAGGTTTGTTTCCATATTGAAAAAAAAAAATGTTTTGAAGTGTAAAATTAGTTGTATCTTTTTGATGGTACTCACATATATCAGTGACACGTGAACGTAACTCAATCTTGTAATATACATTCCAAATGAACATTTTCAAGGAGTTAGTTGTATCTTGTTCTAATACAAAAGGAAAATTTGCACTCAAAATAAGCATATAGTAATACCATTAATTTTGAAAATTTACAGATATTCTTTGTTTGGTTTTACTTGTTTGCAAACTACCTACCTATCCTCTTGTTTACAAACACACATAATAAATTTTACAATATAAATACATCTAAAACATGTCCCATACTTTAATATTGCGAAGTCTTCTAACATGTATACTTTATTTGTGTTTCAGAGTGTCATTTATGAAGAGCCAAAAAACCAAGTGCTTAACTCCAAGCCAGAACCCCCCTCATCTAGAGTGGATTATTCCTACAGACAAGCCAACACACCTGCCGCTATGAGAAGTTCATTTTCATTTGGGGTATGTTGGATGTGAATAAATGTTTAAAAGATTATCATTATTGCTGCTAACACCACTTTCAATATCATTATTATTATTATTATAAATCATCTTCAATCATCATCATGTATTTCTTCTGTCATCAACTACTGTCTTCAAATATTATTATCATCATCTTTATCTTAGCATCTTTACCTGCATTATTTATCGTTATTATCATCTTCATTATTATTGTTGTCATATACATCATCTTGGTTATCATAACCATCACAGTCATTATCATCACAGTTATCATCATCACTGCCATATCAACTAATACTAATGAGATGGATAGAAAAAAAATTAGCTGTTTTTTTAACATGCATTACATTCAACTCTGGCACATAACATCTATTTTTTAGAGATTTAATTCTTTTACCAATAAATAATATATATGTTGTAATAATTTTTTTTTGCTCAACCAGGAACAAACTTTGGTGAAACTTACCAATATTGTTATGAAACTAAATTAATTTATTTCAATAAATAATGATTCTTTACTCTGCTACTACATGATCGTCAGAATTTTTATTGATATAAACTGGCTTTTCCTGTTGATTGTAGAATTATTCAGATGAAAGTAAATCAATAAAGCAGAAAGAAAAAGAAGCATGGCTTCAAGAGTTGGGTAAGTTGATTCTTTTCACTGAGTATCACACCCATAATTGGTGAGTCGAATGGCCGAGCGGTTAGCAGGGGCACCGCAAGCTATAGCCATAATATCAGCGCTGGTTCGAACGGCACGCTCGCCTATGGTTCTGGTGGTAGAACATGTCTTCTCGGATAAGGACTATAAACCGTAGGCCCAGTGTATACAATGGCTCGTGTGCACTATAAAGAACCATGTACATCCTTCGAGACGAGTAGGGGGATACCCCAGTGTACTGGAACAGACAGCCCCTGTGGTGGACGACGAGAGTTGCTGGTACCGGGTTACCGGGTAGCACAGACACGAAGAGACCCTTAGGGCCAAAGAAAGTCATTGATCGAGTTCCTAATCCACATATCAAGCTCCCTGAGCATCTTACATTAGATGGATATGTGCGCTATATAAAACTACACTATTATTAAAGTTGACCTCTCTACCATGGTTCATCTGAGATCTTCCTACATTTTAATATTAATATTTTTTATATGATATACAATAATTTTTATTGACAATTTGAAACTTTATGTAGAATTTGTCTGACACGCTCTCATATAATATCATTTTATAGTGATGATTAAGAATAAAATTTAATAACAATTTCTTTCAAATGTTCATATTCATTTTTCTTGTAATTTGCGATTTTTTTTTTTTGCTATCTTCTGATTGGTTTATTAAATTTTAGGTTAAAAATATAAGTGTTGATGAGCTGACTGTCAGTGCTATAATGGTTAAGTCCACTTTGGTTGGCCTTGGCCTTAGATGGTAGGCACTGTAGATACTGATTTAGATAAAGCCTGTGATGTATTCTTTTGATAGAAAAACAAAGGCAAGATGCTAAGGAACGTCAAGCAAAGGAGAAGCAACAACGGCGTGGTGAAGTTGGTATAGCAGAAAATGATTATTGGGCAAGGCAGGTACCTATTGTCAAACGTAGTGTGTCACCCCAGAGTATGGAAACAAAAGATGACATTGCAACGGAAGAGAAGAGGAAAGAAATCGTCAGATCCGAGACAGTCCAGAGCGATCCACTAAGTGGGACAACTGCATCACAGGAGACTATAATAACTCCAAGAGGGTATGTAATCACTTCTCTAGTAATAAAGAAAAATATAAAAATTAATATTAACATTCAAATGTGCAGTCTCAAATGTTAAGATCAGATCCACATCCATCCCTCTATACTTGTTGAAAATTTAAACATCATTCGCTCTTATCAAAAAATTGTTATATACAATAGTCATGATGTGCCTGTATATGGTCACATGCTGTGATGTCATCATGACCATATTTAGGCATGTCACATGTTTTTGTCATATATAATTTGATAGTCTGGCAGTGCTCAAGTCATGCACCTGATGATCTATAGATCATTTTATCGGGTTTATTTTGAAACAGCGCCACCAATGTCCTGCAACTTAGTTTGTGACTTCCAACGGCCTATAGTAGCTAGCTAGTTTCAAAATGAGCGCTGCGTGCACACTGGTAACTACGTAGCACGAAGTGCATAGGCCTAGGGAAGTGGTTTATATAATGTGTTACTGTAATAATAGTAACTATAACTTGAGCAGTCACTCGATAGGGTGCATCCCTCCGCCCTATGCCTGTATACTGAACAATACGCAGGCTGTGTATGATGGGGCATTCCTTTATTTTCCACCCTGTGCCTAAATACCGAACAATACAATATTTTCTTTTATGCTCGAGGGTAAAAAATCAAATTTCTTTGAACTTGTGCTTTAAACTTTTCTTCACAAAATTTAATCATCTCAGATTATTACTGTATGTACCATTCCACTAAGATTTACAATAATTCATTCCTTAATGTTTGCGTAATCTTGTTAACAGACAGTGGTGAATATATAACCTCCTTTGCAGATTGCATAATATTATTTGATATTATAGGAGCATGTTGCGTAGCGTGTAAGGTGTTGGACTTCTGATCAGGAGTTCGAGACCGATGCTCATCAAATTGCTTGTGTCCTTGGGCAAGGCACTTTTTCTTACGTTTGCCTCTCTCCACCCAGGAGTATAAATAGGTACCTGCTAGGATGGTATGGCATTGAATGTATGGGTTGTACGCGTACAAGCAGCAATGACCAGGGATACTCCCCAGGGAGCAGAGAAAGTATATATTTATAAGCCCCTTTAGCAAACAAAAGTCAAAGCTCTTGCAATGTTATTGCCCTGTATTCAGTTCAGTTACTTCACCTAATGCAAAGCGTTACAAGATCATGTGTATGATTTTACTTTTAAAATTTTGTATGAGTTGGAACTTTTCTTGTGTATCTCCCACCCCAGATCTTCAATTTTTCTTTTTTTTTCTATTTTTTAAGTCATCAACGTAGTCAGTGGGGATTAACAGATCCTGCTGAGGTTGAAAGACGGGAGAAGGCTCGAAACAAACACTTGGAACATATGGTAAGCCTACAAAACTTCTTAATATTTGAATTTCGTTATGGCTAATGTGTATAGCAGAAATAACAACAACAGAAATAAACTATTCATTCACAATCTACGTATTTATTATATGCACATAAATAAAAATTATATTTTAATTGTTATTATTATTATAATTATTATTGTCATTGTTATTGTTTTTATTAAATTTATCATTATAATTAATATAATCAATTTTATTCCGTTTTGTTATGCTGTACAGGAAGCAGTTAAAGCCCAGGTAGAAGAGAAACAAAAGCTGAAACGGGAAGCAATGGAGAGAAAGAGAAGAGAGGATAAAGAAGAAGAGGAAAAGCTGGCAAGGGAACGAGAAAATCTGCAGAAGCAATTTGAAATGGAAGCTCAGAAACAAAAACAAAAAGAAGTGAGTTGTTTATATCATGCAATAAATAGAGATTTAAAGTGAGGCTCTGGTTGAAAAAAAAATATGTTGTTAACAACTGATTATTCTAAGACACCAGACATACTGTATGTACAAGGAAAAACTCAGGACAAATGTTTGACAAAAAACACAGGAACGGTTAATGAGATACAGATTTTAAATATTTAAAAAACTGGGGGCGAGAACAACTATGTAGCAATTGCTCTAATGACAGTGTAGCAATTTTTTGGAAACCTGGCTTAACTTACACACTGCATCGTACGACTGTTGGCCAATGAATTCATCTCCCCTCATGGCTGTGAGTGCATGGCTGGTACTGGTATGGGCATTTATAATGAGCCTCTTCCTTGAGGTTATAAAACACAGTTCTTTTCCCTGGTCATTTGGTCCACATACAAGTGTTGCTGCTGGTAATCATTGCAGGAGCAGGCAACCCCACCATGTACCTATTTATTCTCTTGGATGGAGAGAAGCAATGCAGATAAAGTGCCTTGCTTAAGGACACAAGCGAAATGACCTCATGGTTAGGAAACCAAATCGTTCCCGCTGCGCCAATCTGCCTTGACGACAAAATGGAGTCTGCTGATTTGTAACTAAAAAAAATAATAATAAATTTATTGATCTTATCTAAGTGTTTTCTTTTTTGTTCACACTACACAGTTAGATGCATTAGCCAAGCACCAGGCATTGGTGGAGAGCATGCAGCGTGCGTATGAAGAGTCCATGAGGTTGAAGCAAGAGAAGAGGAAGAGGCACCTGAATATAAATAATTCAGATGCACCAACAAGCATGCCACACAGAGAAGGTATGTAGCATCAAGTATTTCCCTTTCATTCAGAAGGCCTCTCAATTAATTTTTCATCTCACTTGAAATCACTTTTTGTGATTTTAATTCTCCTTTCACATTGCAGTTAGTATTTACAGTTTGTTCATTTATGAATTTGGCTTGCCATGCCAAATCCAGTATCAGTGACCACAACAAGAACATTGACTTACTCATATTCTCCATATTATAAGCTTTAAAATGATGGGTCGTTTACTGGAATCGACTTGCTATTGTTATGAGTAAATATATTATGACTCTCTCTGTACTAAGAGTGTACAATACTGCTACATTCTGATGCTAATTACCCAGTTTAACATTTAGCGACAGCAGTGGTGGCGCCAGCAGAGGGGCAGCAGGGGCTTAAGCCCCCCCACACCGGACAGGTCAAGCCCCCCACCCCCATTGGACAGAGCTCGTCAGGCGGTCGGACTAGAAAATTTAAAAAAATAGGCCCACGCCAAGCCAACACATGTCTGTTACAATCATCAGAGAGTGTCATTTCTAGTCATCCAGAGGTTCCTATTCTTAAAAAGTCTCATGGTTCCTATTCTTCTCATTTGGTAGGGGGAACACCCTCTCAAACCCTTCCCCCAGCTTGGGCCTACCAGCTCAAGTCCCCACCTGTCGGACAGCTCAGCCTCCCCCAGAAAATATATCCCAGAAAATAATAATAAATTTATTGATCTTATCTAAGTGTTTTCTTTTTTGTTCACACTACACAGTTAGATGCATTAGCCAAGCACCAGGCATTGGTGGAGAGCATGCAGCGTGCGTATGAAGAGTCCATGAGGTTGAAGCAAGAGAAGAGGAAGAGGCACCTGAATATAAATAATTCAGATGCACCAACAAGCATGCCACACAGAGAAGGTATGTAGCATCAAGTATTTCCCTTTCATTCAGAAGGCCTCTCAATTAATTTTTCATCTCACTTGAAATCACTTTTTGTGATTTTAATTCTCCTTTCACATTGCAGTTAGTATTTACAGTTTGTTCATTTATGAATTTGGCTTGCCATGCCAAATCCAGTATCAGTGACCACAACAAGAACATTGACTTACTCATATTCTCCATATTATAAGCTTTAAAATGATGGGTCGTTTACTGGAATCGACTTGCTATTGTTATGAGTAAATATATTATGACTCTCTCTGTACTAAGAGTGTACAATACTGCTACATTCTGATGCTAATTACCCAGTTTAACATTTAGCGACAGCAGTGGCGGCGCCAGCGGAGGGGCAACAGGGGCTTAAGCCCCCCCACCAGACAGGTCAAGCCCCCCCACCCCCATTGGACAGAGCTCGTCAGGCGGTCGGACTAAAAAATATAAAAAAATAGGCCCACGCCAAGCCAACACATGCCTGTCACAATCATCAGAGAGTGTCATTTCTGGTCATCCAGAGGTTCCTATTCTTAAAAAGTCTCATGGTTCCTTATCTTCTCATTTGGGAGGGGGAACACCCTCTCAAACCCTTCCCCCAGCTTGGGCCTACCAGCTCAAGTCCCCATCTGTCGGACAGCTCAGCCTCCCCCAGAAAATATATCCTAGAGCCACCACTGAATGCTGGTTTTGTGATGGGAAGCCTCAAATAGCACATGTATTTGTTACTAAAAGAACAAATTCATGATATGAGTGAGGTTGTATGTAAGATGGCGATGTTCAAGGTTCATTCAAGCTAAGTATACAGATTTTTACCACAGCTCACTCAAACAATCAAAAAATAAGTATTTGTATACCGCCAATATTCACGGCAGAATGCAATGTTCAGTGGCGCTATGCCATTGATATTACTCAAAGCTGAAGAGAACACTTACTTGCACTCACTTTATAATGGTTTTATATTGTGTATCTTTTCTTCCAGATGAGCCAGTAGTCCCAACCCCAAGAATAGGTGGTAGCCATGGACCGGTACAACGTACACCTCCTCCGCCACCAGTTGCAACAGAAGTTGCTACTATTCCCCAAGAAACGGGAGTTCGTCATTCAGTAGTCATTGAACAAGGTGTTCAAACAGGTAATCAATCATTTCTTTATAATATTAAAACCAATGGTTGTACCAGAGATTCCCTAATGAGGAATCCAAGGTATCTAACAGAAGATCCAACTAAGTCCCATTCGTAGTTGGGGCTGAAGTGAGAAAATTTTAAGATTAGGCCCCTGTAGATGCTTTTTCCAAAACTGTGTACCCAACAAATGTATTTGCTTCTTTCCTGACAGGGGGTCTGGGTTTTCTTACCCCTTCCCATGTTGATAACGCCACTGATTTAAACCTGGACGAAGCACGGACATGTACAGTATGAACACATTGCCCCTTATCCCGTCTAATTTTCATGTGAGGGTTATTCAAGGAGACAAGCGATCAGACTTCCGTAACCGATGTTGTAGTAAGATATGGATAAACCTTTTGTTGATGACATTTCAACAATCCTAGGTGTTTAGGGCCTTTATAGGCCTATCATTAGAGTAATACATACATATAATCTTAACCAAATAACATTAACTGATATCATAGTACTTTTGAATGAGTAGCCATATTTGTTTATATTACATACTGTAGTAATGATTGTGTATTTTCAGATGGCTAATATTTTCTTTTTTTTTTCTACAATTTATGTTTTACTACATAGACTTTGCAACAGGCCAAGATGATGTATCACCAAGATTGGCAGACAGGGACAAGAGTGCTGGTATTGAGTACAAACAACACAGAATAATTGACAACAGTAAAAATTCAGTCATGCCTAAAAATGACTCAAATACCCGGAAAATGGAAGACCGAAAATCACCTGTTGAAGATCAAAACAAAGAAATAGAAATAAAAGTGAGAAAGAAGAAAACTGTTAAGATATCCGAACGACCAAAATGGGGTGTCAAATCGGAACCGAAGAAGAAAGTTAAAGCATCAGATAAAGATTTGACAGTTAGTAAGAAAGTGCGAGAAGAGCGCCGGAAAAAACGCATGCAGGAGTTGCTTTCCGATCAGGAAAGAAACATGCCGGCCCCCAGGACGGGAAGGGAGAGTAGGAAAGCGAGAAATCAAGAAGATTCGCCTGCGTTTAAAGTTCTTAACTGTGCAGATGGCGAGATTGATGAAATATTGAAATATGAAAAGCGGAATGAGAAACGCCACACTTCAAAGAACAACAGGGAAGAACTTCACGCTCAAGAGGAGAGAGTTGTCAGAAGTAGGCCAGAGGAGTTAGTGGATTCTTCTCAAACACCACCATTACAAACTGGAGATTTTGTGCCATTCTTAAGAACAGATGAAAGACTTGATGTAGATAGTCTACCAGTAACTCCTGCCGAATATAGAGATGCACAAAATTTGGACAATGATAATGTTAACCCAGAGCCTCCAAGGAGATATCAGCATCAGCAGAATTATAAGGTACATTTCTTATTTTTGAGTCCATTGATATAATAATAATTTCCTTTAGCAGGGGTCCCAAGTTAGATGAAATCACTTTCAGGAAGTCTAGTTAAATGAGCTTTCTTAACATATTTAATTTCATTTCGCTGCGCATGGTTATAGCCATCAGCACTGACTTCTGTGAGGCAATTGCAGTATCTAGGTGTATCTAGGGGGGTGTGCAGGAGTGAACATTCCCCAAAAAAATAATTGTGCCCGCCACATGCATCCACATTCAAAGCCAAGAAAAGATCACGCTGAAGTAGTTAAAAATCACCTCAAATCACCTTATTTTGCGAGCTAGCTCCCCCTCACCTAATCATCAAGGCTCCAACTTTATCTTTGCACCTCCCACTTCCCCCCCCCCTACAATCAGCCCTCCCATTTCAAGAATTCTAGACAATTGATAGCAAAGTAGTTAAAACATACAAATATTATGAATTTGCTGTAGATGGGTTATTTTCCGGGAGATTCTTGCTTGTTTGCGAGAGTGCAAGAAGTGGTTCCGATTTCCGGGAGAATCCTGCGACTTGCAGTATACTTGGGACACCTGCTTATGTCCATCAGAAGCTGTTTTTATGTACAATTTTTTGAAAATCTAGCTAGATCAAACTAGATCTAGCTTGAGTCTATACAATACATTTGTTTTTACATGTCACATTATTTATTACAAATTTTTTTTTGTTGCAGGATCCTCTATTTAGTCCTGATATTCGCAAAGATGGTGAAAATAGACAGAAGATGATCCTGAAGCAGTTGTCAAACCTTCGACAGGTAAGTAAACAATAATGACAACTGACACAGGTAATGATAGACAATGATGATGTTGATGATGATAATAATAACTAGCTTCAGGTGGAGAATTATTAGTAGAAATTCCATCCCTATAATAGGGTCATAGTGTTAACACATTGACTGCCAGACCTTTTTTTAAGGTTTCTTCCCTTGTGCCAAAACAACTTTACATGTACAATCATACTTTTTTGAAATTTTATCTAGTCATATATCATCAAAATGATGTGTCTAATAAATTGGCAGGAACATATTAGTGGACGAGTAAACTCGTCGCGGCACTGTGACAGCATTTTTTTGTTGACTATGCCAAGTGCGAGTTATCTCGTCCGTCATGGACAAACCTGTAACTAATGTACGCAGAGCACGTAAAAATCTTAAAATTAACGTACTCCGCAACGAAAGATGAATAAATTATGATGTCATCCATTAACGTTAAGGTTAACATCATGCCATGAAAACTACCTGTTCTCGCTCCCCATACAGGGAATTTATTCAGACTCCAGGCATCCGGCCCCTTGTAAAACAAATATATTACAAAGTTAAATGAGCGTGTTGTGACAATATCTGAAAACAATTTTGTTAATACACACGTTTCCTTTTCTTTTCTCTTAAATGCACGGTAAATAAATAAACATACTTTTCTAATAATATTACTCTTTTCCAAGGACATAATTTGCTAAAAATTTTTACTAGTTGGAAAGTTTTGGAAAAGTTAATATAATATGATGGGAGATACGTTTTTCTTAAATCAGTATATAACTTGCAGAACAAAGGAAAAAGAATCTCATCTTCGATGCTACCATCATGACAAATACAAAGTCTATTTTTATAATCAACATTGTTTTTACGTCCCTTTTCAATTACAAGACTGTGATATTTGATATACGAAAAGAAGTCATTAACAATTTAAAATACGGTTTTATATTCATGGAGAGGTAAGATTTAATTCCAAAAATATGTGATTGTTTTAATTTACTTATTTACTGTCATGGCATCTTTTGTTAAAATTATAAATGAAAGCTGTTTCATCACCCACCCCTTGTATTGGTTCATCCAGACTTCCAAATTAAAGACCTAATATACAGTAACTGGCCCAGCAATCACTGTCATTATCGATAAATCTTAACTGGTTAGAAGTTAATGATTTTATTGAATCTTAGATATTTAATGTTCTCCAGATTTTCAAATGTGCTTTTCCTTTCCTTGTTGATATTTTTTTTTAACTTCTGTTACTGCATGAAGTTCAAATCTTCACTGTATATGCAACAGTGGATGCAAGAACAGGAAATCCTAGTCATGATATGCTGTTTCTGCACACGGAACAATGAACACTTAATTATTTTTTTTATTCAACAAGCTCATTGTCTTATAATGTTGCAATTCTTATCTTACAATAAATTTGTTTGGTTTGTGTTTCAGGGCTTAATGATGAAACAGAGAGAAATGGAGCTTGGACTATCAGTAACACCTTTATCAACTTAGCAGTACTTAATTTTTTATGGGTGTATTAGGTAGAGGATTGGAGTACTTTGTGTGTAAAGCTATTGTATATAGTATATACAAATGTAATTAAACAGGGCTGCATTTTTGGATATATTTTGCATCTCTAGTGGAAATTTCATCATATTGTTTAAGATCAGAGGTTGGGCGCAGGGCCCCCTGACGGGGAGAGCTGGCCGCATGTCGGGGAGAAAAACACAATTCATTGACAAGTAAAAAAAACATATAATGTATAAATGCTGTCTCTTATACACATCTAGATGTGTATAAGAGACAGATGTATATGTATATGTAAATATACTAGTAAACTGTAAAAACGATGAAATAAGTTTTTATATGTATGTATTACCAAAACAGAATTTCCGTTTTTTGGACAATAATAATCTTGAATCTTGAAACCCCTAAATTTTCAGTAATTTACTGGACTACTGTACTTCTGACACATTTCCAGTGACACCAGGCCACGCCCACCTACGTTCTCGTCAGCGACATTGGACCCTCCGTCCAGCAAATCCTAGCACCATTCTTGCTTGAGATGTACTGTACATCCATATTTACAGTGAAGCTCTGTCCATACTACAGTAATAAGTTTTATGTAACAAATACCTGAGATTTGCCCATATATGGGTGTGTAGGGTACCTACAGTAATCATGCTTGATATTTTGGACAAGGCTGAAATAGGATTTCTTTACAATGAATATATTTATTAGCTTAATACATGTATATATTATATGTTGACTAATGTATAATAGTGATGCTATTGTAATAAAGCATGTTTTGCAGTGTCAGCTGCCTGGATAAAGTATTAAGGCTTTAATTTGTGGTTCTCTATTATTATATTATATGCACATCAAACCAAAGGCACTTATTCAAACGACTTTTATACGTCCTCACAAAGTAGGGTCAGAAAAACTAGGGCATACTCTATTTAATCCAATCTAAAAATGTAGACTTATTGAAAAAGGATCATCATAACAATATCAGTTATGCTTATTTACTGTATGTATCCAAATAGACTCCCATAGTTACCAACCTGAAATATTTGAAATGTCTGATTTAAAACGTGGGTCGGGCGCCGTCAGAGCCCTCGCCAGGGTCGGAGTCCGGTGAGAATTCTGGGGGCGAATCTCCCAGGGGTTCTGATGATCTGTGCATTTTTAAGCTGTTTTTAGAGAGAGAGAGTTAACAATACCGGGTACATAAACAAAAATATTTTTAATAAATCACGTACAATTCAAGTTTCAATACTGTATATGTTTAATTTGAGCACCTAAACTATGTACACAAACATTTATACTCAAACAAACAAAAAATGAATAGACTACGACGGTGAACCTTTCCTAGCATTCGACACTATTTCTACCCCTCCTGTTATGCTTCACACCCCTGATTCTTAATTTATTGGTTTCAAGGGCCAACATTTATTTTAAGTTGGGCTCATGGGCCAAAGATAATGTCTGAGTACCGGTAATTAAGCATTGTTTTTGTTAATTTCAAACTTTACTCTTTTTTTTTGTGCTACACAACAATATATGGTAACAAATTCCGTAACTTGAAGCAAAGAATACATAATTATCAATATTCCGTTCACACCCTAGTTGGTTAAAACAATAAGAAATTGCAATCGGTGTATAATGAACATTAGTAACATAAACATTAAAAATATATATGATACGCATGCTTTATAAAACATCAATTAACCTAATGTTCTGCTAGATAAACAAATTAAATAACATTTAAATGAAATATATTTAATGATATAGGCATGTATGCTACCATCAACCGTAACAGATAATTTGAAATAAAAGTAGGCGTGTCGTAGAAGAGAATCTCTAAAAGGCGCTGACCTCAAAAGTACTGTAGAAGTACAGAAATAATATTTGTTTTGTTGATGCAGAGAAATATGGGTATATAGAACGACTAGAAAATAGGTGTTGTGTCGCTCGTGCAGCAAGGCTGAGCCTTGCGAGATTTGTGCGCGCTGGCCCCCGACTAAGTTTGCGGCGGCTCTGGATTGGGCAGCTCAGGTTTCCGCACCTCCAGGTCGGTGAGATATTCTATATGCGTCAGTTATGGCTATATAACTTTTGCATACACATCT